CCACCACTCATATTCTGGAGTCATCCTTCAGTTCATTCCAAAATTTTCTAAGCACATTCTTACCGTGATATCCAGCACCCCCAGCTCAGAACTAGCAAGAATTTGGAGGGTAAGGCTACACAGAGTTGCAGGAGGAGTATTTTCTCTGAGAAAATTTGCATTTAATGAGTCTTAGCATACTTGCTTTGGTATATACTTTTCAAATTCTTGTGATGGGCACTCAAAGCACAGAAGTCCCACTTCAATTAATATTTTGAAGGGAAAACTCCAAACAGTGCTATGGATAGCAATTGCCAAGGCTACTGGAAAATTGAATGTTATTCAATTCCTGTCAAGGGAATTGCTACAATTCCCTTTGCAATAAGAAAGAAGACACTGAATAATAAACCAAAACAACTGATTTCAGGCCCTGTGGTAAGCCAGATGGCTAAGTGGAAGACCCAGAAATATCTCAACAAAACACCTTCAAATAAGCAACTCCATGAAAGAATTTTCCACCATACCCGCAGCTCCACCGAACTCTAACAACCTAACCCGTGCTGCAAACATGGAAGATCTTAAGACCACGGGGAACATAAAAGTCAGTTTTTCATTCTAGTGACCACAGTCTCTATCAATGAAGGCTGGGAAAACACAATCACTCAGTGTGTCTTTCTGCCAACACTCCTGTAAGCAGCACGCCTGTGCAGACACGTGCCTGTGCACCTACGCGCTTGACTTTTTCCTGCTCTGACAAAGGGCCAAGCAGCAGGTTAGAAATCAGGTCTCTGCCCTGTGGTTTCAACTAATACGGACATCCAGCAAGCAAACAGGAAGGGCAAATTCCAAAAGCACAAGGAGTCCTAATATATCAATTGCTATTCTTCCCAAAGGACAGGGGTGGGGAAGGACCGACATCATTTTACAGTACGCAAACACATGAAAACGATTAACATTGGTGTATTCCACTGCAAAGCACGCAATTCTAAACAATGCATAACAGAAGAAACCCCACGTTTTTAGTACACACAAACCTTTTCTGATGTTTTATTAACAGAAGAGTCAGCACAGAAAATACAGAACTATCAATGTATTTTGGCCAGCCGGCCCTAAAGACACCTGGCACCGCAATAAAGAGCTGTAAGTAAAGAGAAAAACGTACCTGTTTACAACAAGGTTTTACGCTGGGGTGAAGACCAAGTCTCCCCTGTTTTAAGGTCATTTAGGCGTTTGTGCCCTGTTACTTTATGACCTCAGAAGAACTGTACTTTTCGCACTAGGAAAATTCATACTTTTAGCTCCTTAACATCGATGTTCCCAGTGCCATCTGCGTCAAACAGGTCGAAAGCCTCCCGGACCTCCTGCTTCTGCTCCTCCGTGAGCTCCAGCTTGGGACTCGCCTTCTTCCCCTGGGACGTGGCTGCTAGCGGGGGCTTGCTTAAAGCTGGAGGCCCTGGCACAGCAACACAAGAGCAAAGGAGGAGCAGGTTGCCGCCGCAGAGCGCCGGGA